GTAAATGATTGGAATTAACATTGGGTGAATCCTAAAAAATTACCATCCTATTTTCATTAATTTTAGCATCCTTTTTCTTGAAAGTGTAATAGCTTTCAACATCATGGTCGGGATTGCCAGCATAATATTCATAAGTCAATTTTAATTTATATCAGACAGGAAAAGGTAATTGTAATGGTGGTATAAGAATAAAAGCTTTATGCCTAATACTTAATAATTTGACATATAACTCTTTCAAGGGCACAGGAAGAGGTGGTGATTACTACAAGGTATTTCTTGTGTTTTATGTCTTATGGTTGTTCTGGTTATTTAATTGACCATGTGATTGATTAGATTAGTTTAGGGCAAAGGGCTTGACAAAGTTAATACTAATAATTTAAGAGGTAGATATTTGGGAGCTATTGTATTTCTTATTTTTGCCTTATACCCACCTTCTAAGTTATTCACATCATGTTCTATTTTCTTCGTAGCAAAGCCTATATTTTCCACTAGCTCAACTATATGCCTAAACTTAATCTCTTATTCTATCCTTTTATAACATTATAGAAATTTTGTGTTAAGCTTCCCATTAAATGCTTATAATAAGAGGATTTGAAGGTATTGATGAATAACATAATCATTTCTTTTTATATTAATAGAGATTTGACATGTGTTGCCTTATTTTGCTATATTTGTGTATATGCCTTTACTGACTCTTGACTTTTATTTTAGATGGTCATTAAAATAGTTCTATTGAGGGCAATTTCTAGATTGAATTTCTAATAATTTAGAAGAGCTGCCAAGTCTTTCTATTTCTTAATCCTAGTATTATATAGTCTTATAAATCAACTCAGGGTAGACCTTGTGAGACTAGCTTGAAAGAAATAGATTAATATTTTATCATTATGGATTGCTTCAACCATTTTATTATAGCATGACTAGAGATGAGTGTTTAGACATTCTAGTCTAGTATACTTGATGAAATCCGACAAGACCGGGGTCGAATTACAGAGAGGTTAATTGTATAAATTATAGATAACAATAATAACAATAATAGTAATAATAATAACAATAATAGTAGTAATAGTAATAATAATAGTAATAAAAATAAAGAAGAAGAAGAAGAAGTAAAAGAAGAAGAAGAAGAAGAAAAAGTTGAAGAGAACTTTGAGATGAAAGATTAACATAAGGATTAAACGATGATAACAACAAATGT